ACCATTACAAGGCACATAAAGCCTTCCAGATCACTCATGTGTTTCAGAACGTGCTCTAGGTTACCAATTGTTTTCTAATATTTTGCCAGCAAGAAAACAAATGCTGCTGTTGCACTCGTTCAGTGCTGGATAGTTGATGGCCAAAAACCATACGCAAACATCTATGGTATGAAAGTTGGCAGATATTTTTAATATGCACCCATGTCGTACTGATTTCTTTTGGATACTTTGATAAGATCATGAAAATCATCTGAAAGGATAAAATTAGCCAAATGTATCAATTTTTTCCGATAAGGGGAGGGAGAGGGGGAAGGTGGCTGTGTCAGATCCAGTGTTCATGCCTAACAGCACAATTTAAAAAGAAAGGAAGACAAGCTTTGATCCCAAGCCACTTCATGCTTTCCACACCAAAAAAAAAAAAAAAAAGAAAGAAAAAGCCAAACCATAACACAAACTTAAGTAGCTGTTTATCATGCATATCTTTTCCTGCATTGAAAATGGTTTTGGAAACTCATACCTCTCCAGGTGGCTTCTCATTTACAGGCTAATGTATAACATTAACAGATTGAACAAAGAACAACAATTATCATTAACAATATTTGTAGTGTTGATAATAAAATGTAGACTTCAAAGTAAACACACAAACTCCTGGAAGAACAACTACCATACCTTGTTGCCGCATCTCTGGAAGTAGGCCTCCTCCTCTTTTTTAGCTAACTCGCTGCGTTTGAAATATTTCTTTTTTCCCTAAGAGAGAGTAAAACTGTTAACAGTTTACAGCTTCATATACTTGGGCAAAACCGGCTCAAACTTCCTTACTTGATTTGGTGAATTCAGCTACATCCTTCTCAGAGATGGCTACATTGTCATGCAAAGGGAAATAGCTGGAAGCATATCGGAAAATCAGCAATATAGAATGACTTCACAGCACATATGCAAAATACTGTGATACTGTGTATAAACAGACTTAAAAGTACAATGTGTTCATCACCACTTTAAGGAAACATGCTCTTTGCTACGTACTTGTTAGCAAAAAGCTTCACTTCAGATGCGCACAACAAGGTCCAGATTAGAGTACAGGAAAGTTGTTTAAATAAATCACACAAAATGTGTCACGTGGCACTAAGGGTATGAGAGAAATCACCTTTGTACAAAATGCTTTGTCAGCTTGCTTAGTGCACCAATGGAGAACTGTACTTGGTAAAACCTTCCTGACATACGACAGCTGCCATCTGTGGTCACCCCAAAGCAGTTCTCTTGATTAATATGAACTACTGCTTCTTTCTTCATACTTTGCCTGTCTGCCCTACAAGAGGCTCCAATCACAGCTCCCTACTCCAACCACTAACGCCAAAACCCCAGTTCCCACATCGGTGAAAGCACTCTGCTTTACGGTGCGTGTTTTTAAGCCAACAGGCTCGGTGCACACACGCACACCCCTCTGAGACCCCACTGCTGCTACAAGCTGAATGCAGCAGTGCTGAGGAAAGGGATACAGACATCTTTCATTAGAATTGGCACGGATCTTTCTCCCCTCCACTGCCTGAAATATCTCAACCAGCAACAGGAGGCTCGCAGCAAGGCCCTGAAGCCAAGTCGCTTCCGCGCCCCCACCCCCAGACTCCTTCCCTCACCCCACCCTGGGCCACTCCC